GTAGCAATTAAACCAGTGCCTGCCTCGTGTTTCTTTTAAGTACATGCTTCTGAACAATAGAGGCTGTAATTGTAATTTCTATAGAAGGCTTTTTGTATGCCTGAAAAACAAACAAGAAAAACAAAACCTCTTCATACCTACCATTATGATCTTGGAGTATTCACGTATATATGCAAGAAAGAGAATTACAGATGAAAACATGAAATAATACCTTGAAAGTGTCACTTGCTTTTATGTTCATAAAACAATTGCAAATCAAAGTAGGATTAGATTCAGAGCAAAATAAAAACTGAAAGAAAATAAAAAATTAATAGTATGCAGTTGAGATATTGTATTTTGATTGCGAATATAAAATATTCTACAACAGGTTAAGCAGAGGAGGAAATTAAACTGGGTATGGGAAAAAGTAAGTCTTCTCCAGGGGCTACAATATTAAGCATCATAGGCAGCTTAGATTTGACGCGCATTAACATGACCTTGTTTTATACACCAAAGATCAGCATTTAAGCCTATGTTTGAGCCTAGCATGTATATAGAAGTAAATTTATATTGTTAAAAAAGCAGCTGTTGAGAAAACACCAGCCCTCACTGCATAACATGTCCTTTCTATGCCACATTTACATGTAAATTTGGAGATGGCTTTTCTCATTTAGAGAATGAGATTTCTGAAGAAGGATATTGGAAATAATCTGTAAATACTGTCACAGGCAGGTGTTATTACTGGGCATTTCCAAAACAGAGTGTCATATCTGTAACTAACCTGTAGAAATCCTTGCTGCAGGATTCTGGATGTCAAAAAAATTACCGTAACTGGATTGGCTCACGGGAAAGAAATCCCTTTAAAGTCTCATACAACCCGTGTTGTGTGCGCCTGGGGCAGGTGGACTTCTGCTGGAGCGCAAGAGGTGACTTGGAGGCTCCTGCCATGCATGCCAACAGGATTGCAGAAAATAAAGTGAGCCCGAGTGAGGATTTGCCTTAAGACTGGGAGGAAACCAAGAGTTGAAGCAGTGGCTGCTCTGAGAGGTTGAACTTGAGCTGATGGGATGCAGTGCTGTGCATATACCTTTGTGTATTTGCATGTATCTGTCTACGCACCAGGCATGTGCCTATCAGTCTAGGGAGTATGCATATTTTTGTATGCATACATAAATAAATCCCAAAACATACATCTGGGCCACCTGTATTGATGGGTGTTGTGGGAGAACTGCTGACAGATGAGGTACTCCAACATTTCAGAAGATCTGGGGACCAGCGAGACCAGTGTCTCACCTCGGCAGTGGGTGTGCAGTGATTTTTGTGGTCAGGGCAGTAACATCTGTATTTATCTCTCTGCTCAGGGAATATGGTACCATGAATCCTCTGTTTCAGAGGACAAGTGTTTGATAGGGACAGCTGTTCTAGTAGTGATTCTGGTTTTAAGACCTTTCTTTTCAGCTTATCGTTTACTGGTTGCAATTGACTACTCAAAGCTGGAAATATTAACATTGCTTTGAGAAGCAATGAATTCGACTTGTGGGTGCGGTATCACGAGTACTATCGCTGGCTTCAGAACCAATTACTGTTTGCATAATCAAATTCTTAATTGTTGTTTTTCCTTGAGGTTGAAGAGGATAATCTCTGCTTTTTTGCCCCATGTAAATGAGGGGAAGAAGCACATTTCCAGTCATATTTCTGGCTTCATCTTGAGCAGCAAGCCGGCGTTGCAAGGCCTGCCTGTCGATAGCGTGGCATGGCGTTTGGGTTTGCATTACTGTCAGCAGCATGCACTGCTCTTCTGTAACTCACAGATTGGTCTTTTCTCTGACTGCAGAGCAGATCTTCAATAACATTAGCAGGTTGTGTTCTCTCTCATTTCTTTTTAGTAATCATTCCTTTCCTGGGGCATGCCCATATGTACATGTGTACAGATGTATGTGTATACCCTATATTATTTCAATTCAGAAGCTGGAATTAAAATAGTAGTTATTTCTGTAACTGATGTATGCTTTTCCTGTATTGACTCTTAAATACTTCTCTGTGTTTTTAATAGATTTTCTGTTAAGCTTCAATTTTTATGTCACTTTTGTTCTTACTTTGAAGGTCGTTTTGCTGCTAGGTCTGGCCACATCTGCGCATTGTTTCTTGCTCTTAGTACAGTGCCTTAATCTTAGTAAAAGCTTCCCTACGTTTTCTTCCTTTAGTGTTTTTGCCTTTCACAGTGAATTTGGCAGTTCTTGAAGAACAAGCTATTGTTTGTGATCTGTAGGCAGCAGCCTCAATACCTGGGGATACAAAATTTGCAAGTTTGCATTGCTTTTCTACTAGGATTTGTTGTTGGATGGGGAAGCGGCTGTGGCCACGAGTGCATGCCCAGGATCCGGCAATTGCTGGGCCTCCTTCGGGAGCACAGCGGGAGAGGCGAGGAAGAAATAGAGGGAGGAAGGTCAGGCTCATTTGTTACCCCCTGGAGAAATTCAGCAGGCAAAGCCTAAATTGGAAAGCTGTTTCAATCAAATGTATTTTGCCACTGGAGGAATAAGTTTATGGACAGTAGTTGGATTCAAGGGATGGAGAATTCAGGAATACAACTCGCGTTTTCACTCTCTTTGACGTAAAAACTTTTAGGTTTTTCTTCTGTCTTTTTTCCCCTTTGTTTTTCACTTGTTTGTTAAATTAGCGGACAGGAAGCAGCTGCTTAAGAGCTGTTACTCTTTTTTGATTGCAAAAGTTGCTGTGCCTCTTAGCTGTGACACAGTTGTAGACTGAAGCTCTCATAACTTCTGTCTGTGACTTGGATCTGCTCTCCGATGAATCGAATATTTTCTGTGATTATGAAACAATATTCAGACAGGGCCACATTTTTATTGTGGAGCTTTTCTGGGGCAAGGTTCTGAATACAGGGTTTGAGAGCGTGTCTGAAGGAGTCAGCTACCTGTGCCCAGGCACCACAGCCGGACCTCAGGAGCTCACCTCCCTCCTGCCCACCCGGCACCAGCCATTTGTCCTGCCGCAGTTCTCTCCCCAGCTGGGCCGGACCACTGAATCTCCACTGTGGTTTAAATCCCTTTAGAGCTCAGCTGGGTGACAAGAATCCTTACCTACTATTACTTTGAGTTAAATTAATCTTATCCATCGATAAGCAGCTAATTGTATCTGCCCAGTATCAACAGGATATCACCAGGCGTATATTTTACAAGGTACTGGAGTAATGTACTTTTTAACTCTCCAGCTGTATTATTGGGCTTTATTTGGTCTCTTTTCTCTTCTGTCTGTTCAGGATTTTGTCTTTGACTCGTTTAATTAAAATCAGCTCACTCCAGCCAGGGTGGAATGTCCAATAATAACTGCTTATTAAGTAGTGGAAGCTGTGCAGTTATTAATTTAAATTATTTTGTTCCAGAGGTTTTGCTCAAATTAAATGGAAAACCAAATTAAACAACGATTTAATTAAGTGGAAGGGAGAAAACGTAGAAGCAGATTTAGAAGGTGAAGATCTAAAAGAAGCGTATTCTTCCAGTTGTGACATCTAACAGATGTAATCCTTCATCAGCATGGCGAAGCAGAGATTTACTGTCATTCAGAGGATAATGAAGAAAACAACAGCAAGAATTATGTTACAAGATAAGAAACTTAACAAATGAATATAGCTCTACAAACCTGAATAAAAAACTCCAGAGAAAAGATTAAAAGAAACAAAGCATGTATTGTTGGAAAGAAATCTCATACAGTCAAGCATTACTACATACTCAAAATTGCTGAAATACAATGGCAAATTAAATAATTTTATAGAATATATATACTCTTATAGAGCAACCTGTAAAAATAAACTTCATAATGCATTAGGATATTCAAGGATGACCTGCCATGAAATGAATATTTCAATAATAATCATGCCAATTTGTTCACATTAATTAGATTTATGGTTTGTGTATACAGAGAGTTAGAAATCCCACAGAAGTAACAATTATCTCTTAACATTTCATTTAACATTAGATTATTAAGATACACTTCTATTGTGACAAGGTCACAGGTCCATTTTGAATGGGTATGAAACACTATTTGCTATTTTCCAGAAGGTTCTCCAGCTAGAGTAACATCGCCTAATATTAAACTTCCTGGCACTCTAGGTTGAATATTTCATCTTGAAAGTCATTTATGGTAATTAGTTTATTATTTTCTGAATAATTTTGTCTAACAGTGTGTTTGAAATTATTCTAACCTCCTGCAGCTGGGCTATTTGAGATGGCAATGACTTCAGTTAGGGTCTCAAGTTGCTCTGCCAGCAATGATTGCAAGTTAAACGTTATTGTCATACATATTAAACACATAAAAACAGATAATTATTTTGTCTTTTTCAGAGAGTAGTCTTATGTGCTGGGGCTTTTTTGCTCTAGAAAGTCATTAGCATGCTTATGAAACTAAATAATACAAGAAATGGTAATAGCAGAAAAAGACTCAAATATAGCTTTTCCTTCTGTATCACTAAAGAATCTCCTTTCAGATTTATTTTTCTGATTTTTCCCTTCTGATTTCATAGTAAGAACATATTCCTAGTTCATAATCAATTATATGGGGAAAGATTCAGGCTCCAGAATCAATTCTGAAAGCATAGACTTGCTTGGAAAAAGTATCACTTACAGTGACTTGTGTAGATTACTAAGGATCTCTCTTTAGAGTTGGAAAACACCTTGTTTTATGTTTGAATAATGCCCCGTCCATAGGGATCCTGGTCTCTGACAACTGCCCTTGGATACGACACTATTATTATTATTATTATTATTATTATTATTATTATTATTATTATTATTATTATTATTTACTACTACTACTACTACTACTATTACTATTACTATGATTACTACTACGATTATTATTATGGGAAAAGTGTTTTTCCCATTACCACTCACCTATCCCCATGGCAATCTACTGCCTATGAGAGTATAGAGGTGACCAGAAAGGAAAATCACATCAGAGGGTTTATTCAAGTTCACTGGGGTTAGAGCTTAAGTTTTACTGACTTCGACACATCTCGTTGGCATTTCTGCGGGCCTGTTGTCGATCATAAAGCGGTACCATGCCGGCGGCAAGGAGTGGTCACAAACCAGGTCCTGAATTGCCGTTCGCTGCAGCTCCAGTGAGTCAAACCTGGTGCTGCGGTAGGGATTGCGGAGGATGCGGTGTCCCTCAGGTGAGCACTCGGGAGCTGGAAAGGGTGGAAAAGGACAATGATTAAATAAATTAATTCCAGTTAATCTAATTGGATACTGTTAATAACCACTTAAAGAGGGGGTACATCCTCTTATGTTCAGATTCACATTAGGATTGGGATAATTTTCAAGATAAACACTGGGAAAGGATCAAATTTGGTATTAAATATATAAAATTGGAAGCTTGGTAACAAAGACTTTAGTTATCTAGATTTTCGTCATATATGAATCAGAACCAGAAGCCTTAAACCTTTAATGTGATCTCAGTCTAGTTTTAAGGATTAACATCTAAATCGCTCCTCCCCAGAAATCAAGTAATGTTTTGAGGTTCTAAAGCCTCTTGATCCTTGACAACATGTGGGGTTTTTAATTTAGTTTACTATATGCATGAGCATTTTAATCATGATAAAAATTGATGCTCAGATATATTTATACATATACTTTTAAATACATATTTAGAATAATGAGAACAAGAACAGCTAAAGAGAGAAAAAGAAATGGTGAAAAGACAACAGTACCACAGGGTTTTTAGAAATAAGCTCAAGTTAGGCTTGCAAATATTCAAGCCACAGGTCAGACTCGCCTGAGAGCGTGTACCCATGAGCCCAAATATATCAGAGCTTCTGTGCATGCATTGCAAAGTTGAATCAAAACTGCTGCCCTTCGACATATGTTTATTTACACACCTGCCCTGCTTATTTTCATACATCTCTTGATTTTGTACAGAATATTTGGTATTTTCTTACCACCTAATAAAAAGAAGCCTTGCAGTGATTCTTTTAGAAGCTGTTTATTTTCAAAAAGCTGATCATGTAGAAAAAAAGGGCCTTTTCTTGGTTGTCTTAGCCATTTCTCTATGAGGCAAAGTCCATTTTTGCTGCGTTGGCACTGCAGAGTGGGTCACAGGAGGAGACCGAGGTGGGGTTGCTCTGCTTTATGTGTCAGCAACAGAAGGCTCAGCTAATTTCTTGCTGCAGTAATCTTTAATTGCTAATGATGATGTAAGAGGCAGAGAGCACATAGCAGGAATTGCACAACCTGGTTTCAGGAGTGAGCCTGGCAGTCCTCAAAATCACCTCTTTGCACTGTAAATAGAGCTTATTTATGTGACACCGTTGACAGAGAATAAGACCCCTCCCCATAATATCATTTCCCAAATGTCACTTTTCAGATTATAACTCTGCTTTAATATTACGCCGGTGGCAGTCTGAAACAAATTTATCATTTTTATTTTATTGACAAGATACTCAGAAGGTGCAAGTCAATCCACTTATGGTACTATTTTTAAAGATTATTTTTATTGTGCCAAAGGCAAGGCAATGGGATACAAGACAAATGGGCGCAAAATGTAGTGTAACAGAGCCTTTATTGCAATTTTCAGGGAACTAAACTGTCAAAGTGCTCGTGCAATTCCAATGCAAAACTCCACTGAATTAATACAATTGCCTTCTTAAATAAAAAAGGAGTGCCCTGAGCTTTTCTTTTCTACAGGTAAGAGCCATTTTAGAGAGGGAACATTTGGAAATACTGCACCTCTAATTAAATCTGGGATCCAATTCCCTCCCTCAGATGTCCTTTCTGGGGATTTGGGCCCAGCAGTGGCGACCACATGTAGACTGTCCTTTGCCAATTCCCAACCCAAGGGACTAAGTGACATTTCAGCAGACCAACTATTTTAAGCAAATGAAAAGTTTACCCTATATTTAAAAACTGTTAAAAGATGCAGCCCCTTGCTGACCCCCGCAATATCACTCAGTGCTTCAGGAGTGTGAACGGGAACAGGACTTAGGCTCCTGGTGCCCTTTGCTTGCCCTGAGTACCTCCTTTCTGAACAAAAGACAAGAGAGTCTAAAAGTAAACGGCTCTTTGCACAGTATTGCAACAGGAACCCTGCAAGAGCGTTGAAATATAATTAATTGCATTCACTTTCTCAATAATAATAATATCAAATACACCCTTTAAATGTAATTAATAACCTTCTGCTCAATATGTATTAGTTATAATCCAAATTTACACAGCGTGTTTTGGTCTTACCAATGATTAACTACTCTGTCTAAACAACGCAAATGTGTTAGACACTGAGGCACGGCTAATTATTTTTCATCCTTTGCATAGTTTTGTTTGCAGTAGTTCAGAAAACGCTGTTTCGCATATTAACATTATAGGAGGTGAACACTGGGGATGGGACTTGCAAAGGGCAGGGAGGGACTCGGAGGAGCGTGCAGGGAGACATGCAAGGTCAGTAAGGAAAGGAATGTTCACCCATTAAATTTAACAGTATTTGGGACAAAAATATCTTGGTTTCACTCCATAAAGAGCATATATGTGAAGCCCTGGCTCAGCCACCACCTCCAAAGGTGTATTTTATTCTGTATTAAATGTCGGAATATGTTTATGTACCTGTGACTGGGTTTAGCTCTGCTGGCAGGCTGTCATCGAGGAGGCAGCAAGGCAAACTCATCTGCTGTCAGCTCCCCTGGAGCCAGACTGACGGATTTTGTTCTCACCCTGATGCAGATCAGACCAAACCACACCGGAGTTGATGGCGGTGTGCCGGCATGGAGCAGGAGGGAGCGCGAGCAAAAGCTCGACCAGGTTTTGCAGCCAGCCATGAGCAAAACAACCCCTCAGTTACCGTGTTTCCCTTGTAAAATGCTGCTTATTATGGCCTCATGACAGAATCATTGTAAACTTAACATGGAAATTGCAGGCCATGGTACAAGTTAATTACCACTGTCTTTCTCACAGAAATAAATAAATAAAGGCATCAATGTAATCAGATTATATTATAAAAATGTTATTTAAAAAAAAAAACCAAGAAGATACAGTTGAGCCCAGTTGCGTGTTCACCTGAGGGATGCCCGCCTGTGCCTTATGGTGACTGCAGCTACACTCTAATCAGACGAAGCCTTCCTCTTCATTTTTAATTCATGACAAAGTCAGACGCAGATGTCAAGCTCGTGTACAGTGATGAAGTGCTCAATATCACAATTGTTCCCCCTATTGAGGGGAACAATAAAAGTCTGTGTCCATGTCTTGTACAGAGTCGCTGTTACACTGGTGTGCAGGTTAGATTGCCTTTAAAGGGAACTATTTACTCCTTTACATATGAGAAACCTACATATTTAATCTAATTGCTTTATTCAGATGATTGCATTGAAGTCATTTATGAAAAGGATGCTGACTTTTCAGGGAGCTGAGTGCTTGTCGTCATTAGGACCATTCAGATTTCCTTCAGGAAGAAATTAAACTGTGCAGTGAGCTTTTGTTGCTCTGAGTCCAGAGTGGTGTTGGAGTTAAATGTGCAGTAGCCACTGCTTTAGTGTCTTGCAAAGAACTTCTGCTTGAACCGCCGTCATCCTCGATTTAGGCAAGGAGCTGTTGCTAAGACATAGGGATTTGTTCGCTTCACGAGACTCAAAGCATTTTTTCTTACACCCAGCAATTTTGTAGTAGCAGTTTTCTGCAAAGAGACACTTTTTGACACAAAAAGCAAACAAATAATAATACCTGTTGCAGCTCTTCAGTGAAAACAGCATTTGAATAACTCTGGTGGCATGATAAAGCAAGTCCTGTGGGGAAAATCTGCCTCCATTGAAGCCATAAGGAAAGCTGCCGTTAATGCCTGGAGGTCGAGATTCACCTGACATTAATTTGCGGGAAGTTGTTATGAGCAAATGAAATGAGGAGCAGCTTGCAGGCTTGCTGGGAAGAGGAGAGCTTTCTGCAGAAGGATCCAGAAATAGCCAATGGAAAATGAGCAGAAAGTGGACATCTGAACTGGTGTTTCATGCTGAAATACTGTTGTGGACCTGGGGTTTGGCTCTCAGCTAAATGAAACACTGACGTGGCCCCGGCTGGAGGAAGACGTGCATGTCAGTCAATCCTGGGGACAACAGCCCAGAAGCTCATTCTTGGTGGGTTGTTCAATATTGTACTGGGGAGGACAGAGGCTCTACAGGGCTATACCAGGGAGAAGCCAAACAAGAGTCTGGAAAGGGTCTTTTAGGGCATTACTCTAAGATGCCCCCAGCACAGGCCCACACATGTAACACCTTAAACATCTGCTGGCTGGAGCTTATTTCGAATGGGTTGGTAGCTAGATGGTCTGCAAGCGGCTGAGACAACCATGCAGTTCTTGAGCAGTGGTGTTGGTGGAAAAGATGCCGCTGTAGGGACCACCAGGCATTTGTTAAGGGTCCAACCATCCTGGGTGATGCTCAGGGATACAGGGGGAAGAAGCATCAGACGTGTCAGGGAGGGATGCCAGGAAAATTGGCGCAGCAGGCTGGGAACTTGAAAGGAAATAATTCGCTAAAAATTTGCTTTTATTTCTAAAGGCAGGTGAGTGTGGGTGTGACAGAGCTTTACCTGTTGCTTTTGCCCCCAGTAAATTTCAGTGGCTTACGTGGAAGAAGGTCTAAGAAGCTGTGAGATTTTGTTTGTTTGCTTTGAACAGCGGCTGCAAATCAAATAATATCAATAGGTGATGGCAGCTGGAAAACCCTGAAAGAAATATAGTCCACAAGCCCAAGGTACATGTTTGTTTTGGGCAAAGCAGTGCCAGCTACTCAATATATTTAAAGGGCATTCTAAAGCCCTGGGAAAGAGCTAGCGGATCGCAAAATAATTTTTGTGTGGAGGGTGAATGAAAACCCAGTGACCGATCCAGGTAATACCAACCAACAGCACCATTTGGCGATGTGCTATAATTGTTCTGTGACCTGGAAAGAGATATTCCCAGATGCAGATTTCTTTCTTTCCATCATCCCCCACACGGTGGGAGCCCGGCTGGAGCTTTGCCCCAGCACCGCAGCCAGCCCCGGGGCTGGGGAAGGGGGCTGCCCTCCGGCTTGCACATGGCTTCGCTCAAAGGCAGAGACGGGAGGTGCTGGGGAGCTTCTGATGTACGACATTTGAAAATATGCACACATAAGTGTATGTAAGGTATATGAATGTCTCTCTCTATATATATTTTTCAAATTTTGTATAATAA